AAGCACCTTGGTGATCAAGCAAAAGAAGCAGCAACGGAAAGAGAGTTTATGATGGTCATGATGATGGATTTTAGGGTTTATTTGACACGAGTCAATCTTCACAATGACGTTGAGTCATGTATAAAGCCTGAAGGTGAACTTATTAGCTTAGACGAAGAAGACGATGTATCTCAAGTCTTTCACTGCGACGGTTTATTGTTATGCATTATGGAAGATAACACTAGGGTTGTGGTTTGGAACCCGTATTGGGGGCATACAAGGTGGATCGTGCCTACACATAATTTCCACAAATTGGACATGTATACGTATGCTCTTGGATACAAGAAGAGCAGCAAATCAAGCCGCAGCTACAAAATCTTGAGATTTATTGTTTTTTCTCGCACTTGTTTTGAGTTCAAAATCTATGATATCAGCTCTGATTCATGGAAGGTTCTTGATGTCTCTCCAGATTGGAAGATAGATTCTTATAGCCGTGGCGTGTCTCTCAAGGGAAATACATACTGGTTTGCAAGAGAGAGACAAGGAAGCAGTACTTTCTTAGTCTGTTTTGATTTCACAAGAGAGAGATTTAGGTCACGTTTTCCTCTGCCGATTCAGCCGTATATTTTAGATACCGTGAGTCTATCTAGTGTTAGAGAAGAGCAGCTTGCGGTTTTATTTCAGCGCGCAAGATTATCAGAGATGGAGATGGAGATCTGGATAACGACGAAAATTGAGCCAAACGCGGTGTCGTGGAACAGCAAAGTGTTCTTAGCAGTGGATATTGGCCTTAAATTTCAGTTTCAAGTTAGAGCTTCGAGTTTCTTTATTGACGAGGAGAAGAAAGTTGTTGTGGTTTTTGATAAAGAGAGAAAATATTTAGTGTCCACTCACAACATAGCTTACATCTTTGGAGAGGATGGAACCGTGGAAGAAGTTGATCTTGGACTATCTGCAGACAAATTTTGTTATCCACTTGTGTGCTCTTATGTTCCAAGTTTAGTGCAGCTTTAGTTAGTCCAATAATATATTTCTTGCGTATTTTGTATTTATACTTGTTTCTCAACCTTGTTCTGTTGTAGTAGATTCATGGCAAATACTTACAAGATTCAATGATTCTTGGAGCTAATCTTCAACCTTTGGTACTCTCTGTTCTTAATGCACCTTTCTCAGTTCTGGCTTTGCTCATTGGAGTCTAATGCAGCTCTTGTATATCCTGCAAGTTCTGGTTCTGGATACAGAGGCGAGAGGTTCAAGGTTGATGTTACTCCATACTGGCATATATACACTTATAGTCGTGGCGTCTCTGTCAAGGGAAATACGTACTGGTTTGCTAGAAATCGGCAATATTGTTGCTTAGTCTGTTTTAATTTCTCAAGAGAGAGTTTTGGGTCGCGTTTGCCTTTGCCGTTTCAGTTTTATAATTCAGATACTGTCAGTCTATCTAGTGTCAGAGAAGAGCAGCTTGCGGTTTTATTTCAGAGCTCCTATACATTATAGATGGAGATTTGGGTAACGACGAAAATTGAGCCCAACTGGGTGTCGTGGAAGAGTAAGGTGTTCTTAACAGTGGATATGAACCCACTTGTTTCCTTTCAGTTTCAGGTTAGTGCTGCGAGTTTCTTCATTGACGAGGAGAATAAAGTCGCCGTTGTTTTTGATAAAGATAAAGAAGGTTTAATGAACCCTACTCGCAACGTAGCTTACATCGTTGGAGTGGATGGAATCTTGGAAGAAGTGGATCTTGGAGTATCTGCAGCCAAATTTTGTTACCCACTTGTGTGCTCTTATGTTCCGAGTTTAGTGTACCTTTAATTAGTACATTTTACAATACCTATGGTCAATTTCTTCAATGTTTACTTGTTTGTTTTCTCTTTTATTATGTTCCTTGAACAAGATTATTATGTTCCTTGAACAGTAGGAAGCATGTTAGTACTAATAATTGAAAACAATGTTCGATCCAACCAAATAAAAAGAATTTGAAAACAAATAAGTTAAGTAATAGAACAATTAGAAATTAACGAGACAAATGAAGGAGAAAAAAAAAGAGGAAGGGGTCGGTTATAAAGTTATAATCATAAATAGCACGCCCCCAAAACCCACACACACTATACATATGGCACCAAAGGCGTACACATCTTCCTTGAACCTCTCAAACTGCATTAGCTTCCGCTTCTTTATACTCGAGTACACTACTTCCCTTACCTTCACTTCATCGCCTTCCTTGCAGTAACGAGAGATTATCAAACACGGTATTCGAGTATCGAACCTGGGTCCTTGTGGTTCCCACTCTCCATATATCTCCTCTGCTCCTTTTAAATCGTCTAGCTTCAACAAAGAGCTAATCACACTTTGATATTCTTCATCACCAACCGCACTTATACACCTACATGGATTGACGTCATCAATTTTATAATTTCTCTTTTCCTTCTCCTTGTACTCATTCCATAGACGGCGAACTTCGTTTTTACTCCTTGTTATCTCAATCGCCTTTAGTAGTAGACCGGCTCTCTCGTAAGCATTCGCCATTGCAACCATGGTCCTCATCTCAAGTTTGGTGATTTTTTCAGCATTAACCCACTCTCTTTTATACTTGTCCATTGTCTGTATGTCGGTTTCATCTGCGTACATTCTCAAAACGTTGTTCATTGTGAGACTATCCGGCTCTACGTTCATACATTTCATCTTCGATATAAGATTGTCCACCTTCTCTCGTTTTCCTAACTGACTGTAAAGAGATATCATCAAGTTGAAAGGAGAAGGTTTCGAGAGGAAACCGAGGTCTCTCATCTTCTCGAAAATGGCCTCGGCTTTATCCAAAGTTTTGTGAGATTTCGAGTAACAGCTTAAGAGTGTAGCGTAGACAGAGTAATCCTTCATGTTCTCCGGGATGCTTCTTTCGAAAAACTTCTCTGCTTCCTCAAAACCTAACACGTTTTCAATCATATGAAGCCTAGCTGCATAATCTTGAGGGAAAAGATTGAAAGATGTTTTTCTACTCATCCATATTGATGCCTCAAGTGCTTTAGAGAATTGATTTGAGTCACAGAGATTCTTGATGAGATCTCTTAACTCCGAAGGCTTCACTTCATTTCCTTTTCTTTCCAATGACTCCAACAACGGAGTGATTGGTTTAAAAGATTCTTCTTTGATCATAATCTCCTTGATCAGTTTATCTGCCCTCTCCACCATTCCCTTTTCGCAATAACTAGACACCAACATAGTCGGGATTCGGACATCAAACGGAAGTCCCGAGCACTCCCACTCTTTGTAGTAGAACTCCTCTGCTCCGTTGATATCATCAAGCTTTAATAGTGAACCAATCAAAGCTCGGAATCCATTGTTGTCTTTCTTACTTAACTTCTTGTACAAGTCCCATACACGGTAAACGTCCTTTCTCCCTCCTGCTTCACCATATAGCCTCATGAGTTCCTCATAGGACTTTGGATCCCTCAATTCCTCTGTTTTACGAAGCATCTCTCTCGCCTTTCCCTTAAAACCACTTCTGAGATAAGCCTTAGCCATGTCAAGTCTTGTGAGCCACTCAAGCGGTGTAGTCCCTTCCCATTCAGCAAGAAACTTCTCCATTGTCGATATGTGAGTTACATCAGCGTATACTCGCAAAGCATTGTTCACGGTGTCTCTATCAAGCTTAATGTTGCTCTCCTTCATCTCTCGCAGAATCTCATCGACCTTACACCGGTTTCCGTGAGGGATACGCCTGTAGAGTGAAGTCATCGAGTTATACGGTGAAGCTCTCAATAGCAACCCTAGCTCCCTCATCTTCTTGAAAGTAGATTCGGCTTTATCCAAATCATTTCTTCTTACGTAGCTGCTTAGAAGAGAATTGTAGATAGATTCGTTTCTTAGATTCGCCGGGATGCTCTCGACGAAATTCCCTGCTTCTTCCAATCCAAATACGTTCTCAATCAGATGAAATCGAGTTGTGAAATCTTCAGGGATGAGATTGCAGATCTTTTGTACAATCATCCAATTTGATACTTCTAGGGCTTCGCGAAATCGCTGGGAATCGCGTAGATTCTCGACGACACCTCTCACCAACGAAGGGTTTAATTGCTTCCCTTGTTCTTGTTGTTGTCGCCATTGCTCAAGCACCGTAGTGATTTCTGCTTTCTTTTCTAAAGCCGCTTCGATCCGACCTTGCAGAGTTAGGTTCCTTGCCGGGGACGATAGGGTTTTGTTTGTGGAGGAGCAGAAGAATCGAGTCCTGCTACTGTAAGCGAGAATACGCCTTGCGTGTCGCTGAAGTTTATGCGTCATGCTCATCTTCGATGATGATACAGAGAAGATCACTTGGGGTTTAGTATTATCCAAAATAAAAACTTTAGGGTTTTGTGAACTTTTTCAATTTAATCGATTTATAAAGTTAACTCTTATTATCATATTCCTTGGGGAAAAGGATAAAAACTAACTCTTATGATCATATTCCTTGGGGAAAAACTCACCAAAAAAAAATATTCCTTGGGGAAAAAGATAAAAAAGATAAAACCACAGATTTGTTTTAAATTTTGTAATAATAATTTTAGATTAGTTAACATCTCAAATAGGTTTATATATATTGAAAAATTATAATTTATAACACTTATATTTTATTATGAAAATAATGTTTTAATACTTTCAAAGTACTAAACAAAAAAAGAATTTTAGAAACCAATTCGCAATTTTTAATTTTTTTTTACATCTTATTCATTCATTGAATTCAAATCGAATACACCTCCATGATCACGGAGATAACGGATTCGTCTTTCGATGATGTACCATGAATGAAACACCTCCATAATCGGAGGAATTAGCAAGAAACATAATCGTTTTCACTTGTCAACAAAAGAGATAAATAAAACCAATTCGCAAAATCTATAATCGTAGATCAACAAAGGATTAATAAGTTTAGTAGAATTAGTTAAACGATTGGTTAACAAAAATAAAATAAAAAAGGAATCAGTTGAAGCGTTTTTATTTTTCTTAAGTATATATTTCTTTTAATTTTCCATTTCTTTTTCAGATGAAATAACAAACACAGCCACCAAAAAAAAATTGAAGCTTTAGCTAGTTGATGATGGTGATGATATCTCTTCACCTCTCTACTCCGCCGCTAGCTTTTATCAAATCTTCTTCCAATTCTAGATTTCCCAAGAACCCTAATCCTAATTTTATCCAATTCACTCCAAAATCCCAACTTTTTTCTTGCCGTCGTTTCAATTTCAACACCGGAGTAACAAATTTAAACCGTAAAACCTACCGGAGAAGTCTCAGTTGCTATGGGGTTAAGGATTCAAGTGAGACGACAAAGTCTGCACCGTCATTAGACTCCGGTAGCGGCGGTGGAGGAGGAGGTGACGGCGGAGATGGCGGTGATGATGGTGAAGGTGAAGTGGAGGAAAAAAACAGACTTTTTCCGGAATGGTTGGATTTTACATCGGATGATGCGAAGACTGTGTTTGTGGCTATAGCTGTATCGTTGGCGTTTCGTTATTTCATTGCAGAACCAAGATACATTCCTTCTTTGTCTATGTATCCTACTTTTGATGTTGGAGACAGATTAGTTGCAGAGAAGGTATTGTTTTCTTTCTATAGATTAGCTTTGGAATCATGAGCTATAGTTAGGAATTAGGAAGCTATGGTTAAGTTTGTGTGTTTGATACAATGTCAAAGGTTACATCTTTAGAGTTAAAGATGAGTTTTTTAGTATGAGCTTAAAAGATTCTCATTGATTGGTTTTAGTGATTGCTACTGAAATTTGGGGTTGATGTTACAGGTGAGTTATTATTTTAGGAAGCCTTGTGCAAATGATATTGTGATCTTCAAAAGTCCACCAGTTCTTCAGGAAGTTGGGTATACTGATGCGGATGTATTTATTAAACGGATTGTTGCGAAAGAAGGTGACCTTGTGGAGGTATGTATGATCATATTTTGGCTCTTAGAATGTGTGACTAGTGAAGAGACTTGTAATAGTGAAGGTGATGGTTATTTGATTTGGGGTAATGTGTAGGTACATAATGGGAAACTGATGGTTAATGGTGTTGCTAGGAATGAAAAATTCATCTTAGAGCCTCCTGGATATGAAATGACAGCAGTTGTAAGTATAATTTTCGTCTTTTAAACTAATGTTAGAACCTGAAGCTTCTGGTTTGTCTTCTTTTCTGATTTTGGTTGCTTCGATATTGTAGAGGGTACCGGAAAATTCAGTCTTTGTGATGGGTGACAACCGGAATAACAGTTATGATTCGCACGTGTGGTGAGAAGCCTATTTGTTTATCTGTTTTTAGATTTTTATCATAGGATTTAGCTTCTTCTTGAATTGTTCCTTATTCTGGAATACTTTTGTTGTCTTCAGGGGTCCTCTACCTTTGAAGAATATAATTGGACGGTCAGTTTTTCGGTATTGGCCACCAAACAGAGTAAGCGGGACAGTGCTAGAAGGTGGCTGTGCTGTGGATAAGCAATAGAGCATTGGAACGTTTTGATTCTTTCTTTGAAACACTTGTGCAGATAAAAACGAAAACAATGTACCTTTCTATGAAGGAGAGAATTGCACATTTGAATTGGATTGCAGATTTATGAGAAAGCAAGAAATTCTTATTTGCAAAATGGAGAGATAATGAAAAATTGTTTACTTGGTAACAAGTTTACAGGTCTTATGACTGAATTCTATGGGTTTGGAAGTCTTGGAGGAGGAGATGAAGAAAGAGCATGATACGTGATTCACGTGCTTCGACTTGACCAGCTTCCCCAATAAATTTCCTCGCGATCGGATCTCAAACTCCAACTTCACTGGAACTTTTCCCTTCTTGTCAGAGGCAGCTAAGTGTGGTCCTGCTCCATACAAAGGAACCTCTGAACCAGTGAGCTTTACAATGGCTATGTGCTTGCTCTTTCTTGGCTGGTAATAGCTCTTAAGCTTCACAACCAAAATGTGAATATCAGATTATGAATTTATGATGATGATGATATAGGAGCAATGAGTGAAATCTGAAAACAGAGAGTACCTGACCAGTGGCGAGTGTGAGAGCAGAGAAGGTGAGTTTGAAGGTAGAAGAAGAGACATGGATGCCAAAGTAAGGAGCAGGACTATCTATTGTCACCTTCACCGAGCTGTTAAAGCTCAGAATCTTGGTAGCAACTCCTGTTCCGTCTATTCCTTCTCCATAATAAAAGCTATGGAGGTTAAAGCTCTTGACAGAGACGATAGGAGAGAAAGGATGAGAAGCTCCCCACAAAACAGAGCAGAAAACAGAGAACACAACCACAGTACCTAATATTACCAAAACCGCTCTGCATTGTCCCACCGATAATCCTCTGTTATCATCATAAACTTCATCTTCATTAATCGTGTAAGGCTTCTCCGGCCAATACATATTACTCCTCCGGGAGCTTCCTTTCCATCGGAATCCCATACCGCTTGTTCCATTGGAGGTACGGCTCGAAGAGGAGAGACGTGACTCACTGAGAATGGTGTAGTTTGGAGTATGAACCTGAATAAGCGAAGTAGAGGATGAGGATTTCTCACCATCGTCTAATTGGGACACACTTGAAGGGCTTTCTACATAGTAAGCTGGTTTAGGTGATGAAATCGATAAGTCCAAGCTTGTTCTTTCGGATTCTGACGTCGCATCCATCATATTTCTTTTGTTTCAACTTGGTTTATCAATTTGCCTGTGTTTTGAGATCGACGTAAACATTGAAAATGGGAGATAGATATGTCTAGAAGATAATTGAAGAAGAACACGGCGTAGAGAGTGGATATAGAACAAACCCTTTGAAGCTTTCTTTTCCATTTTTTTTGTTTTAGTTTATAAATGGTTTGGTCCAAAACAAACCGTTTTTAACGGATTTTATTCTTTCTCTTTTCGATAAAATAGGTTTATTTATTTTTTAATTTTTAGCTAACTATGGAGAGAAATTGTCTCGATAAGTAAAACCAACCTTAAAGACTGACATTATATAACTCAGTGTTTCTTAATTCTTACCAAACGATATGTCTCTCATGAACACTTTTTTGGAATTCATAGCTTGACGTGTTGTTTACGGATGACTATTAAACTGCTAGGGTTCGTGCTTTAGTGGGCTGTGTACAAAATCCAAGTTGGAAATATCTTTTGGAGTTAGTCATATCGATTTGGTTGAGTTTAGAGTGTTGGCTACTGATGGTGGATTTGATTTTGAAGAAGAGACTAGGCCACCCATGTACATATAGATTGGAACTGGAGTCATTCCTCTGATGAGTCATGATATAGACAAAGCGAAACCAGTAAAAAATGGTCCATAAGAAGAAGGATTGCTCGAAGAGCGAGACTATCGGTAAGCGCCACCCAGTGGTCCGAATATAAACGTTGTGAATTGCCTTCCTGACTAAGGTGGATAGGCATGAAACCTAGCTCATTTGGTACTATTAGCATGAGATCCGATGGGGCATGTTTTCATGGACATTCATTCTTATAGATTCGAAAATGAAATGACATTATGTTTTGCAAGTTGATAAACTCATAAAGATAAATTCAGTGATAATAGAATTTTACTATAATTCAAAAAATATTTATTTTACAAAAGCTAGGAATTAATAAAAATCGAGTTCTTATATTACAACAAAGAATTAATGAAGAAGCTTCTATGAATTACAAGTCTTACGGGTAAATTTTACAAATGTGGTGTTATAAGAGGAGATAAAAAAGAAGCAAGAGAGGTGTTTCCTATGCCTAGACTTGACTAAGTTTCCAACAATATTGGCTCGTGATCGAATCTCGAACTCTAACTTCACAGGAACTCCACCATTATGGTCTGAAGCAACTAACTCGGCTCCTGCTCCATATAGTGGAACCTTGGAGCCAACAAGGTTGATCCTAGATGTGTGGTTGCTTAGTTTTGGTTGATAATAACTCTTCAGCTGCGCGATCGCAAGCGTGAATTGACGAGAGTAGATGAGGTTGATGGTAGTGGAGCTGACATGAATGCCGAATAATGTAGAAGGATTGTGTGTTTTGATCTCCACTGAACATTTAAAGTTCATGATCTTTGTTGGAACTCCTGTACTATCTGAACCTTCTCCGTAGGAAAAAATTTGCACATTCACACCCTAACAAATATACAACACAAAATCAAACACTTGTAGAGCTTTTATGAAAACACCAAATTATAAAAATGTAAGTGAAAATACCAAATTCAAAAATCTTTTATGAAAAAAAATACAAAAATAAAATGTGGAAAACGCAAATGCAAACACAGAAACTAAGGTAAATAATATTTGCTACATATGTGAGTAAAAATAAAATTACCTTGATGTAGACGATTGGAGGGAAAGATTGAGAAACACCAAAGAGAACAGAACATAGAAGAAAAAAGATACTCAATGTCGCAACAAGTCCCAAAATAAGTCTACAAGTAACAATGGAGACTCCTCTGTTGTCCTCATAAAGATCCTCGTACCGTCCATCATCAGCATCATCCTCCTTATCAGCTGGCCACCATCTTCCGCCGTGATATTTCCTCCTTCCTTTCCACCGGAAACCTCCACCACCGTTGTTGGATACGCGGCTAGCAAACGATGGGTGTGATGGCGACTCGGTGGGAGTGGTCTGATGAGTCGTCAGTGCCACGGAGGAAGACTTGTCGGAGTCACGTGATGGGCTTTGAACGTAGTAAGAAGGAAGTTTTGGTGATGATAGGTCGAGGCTTGTGATGTCTGAGTCAGATTTTGGGTACATCTTCATTTTGGTTTTTTTTTTTTAATTGGTAAATCTTTCTTTATCAATGTTTGTTCTTGTGCTCATAAATATTGGTATTTGTGTGTGCATGGGTACAAAATAGGGAAATAATTACAAGCGTTAGGTTGGGTAAGACAAAGGCCCATAGGTTAGGTTACCATTTGTCACTAGTTTTGGGTGTCAGTTACATAGTATAGTGCGTTCTCAATTCTGCCAGTTTGACATTTGTAACCGAAAAATTTGAGTCTCTCTTTTGAATTGGTTAAAGTGTTAGAAGATAGATTCGTTTTACTTAAAGCTAGTTTTGGTGCTTCTTCTTAATTACTTACTACAATTTGGTGACCAATAGAACTCATTGGTTTCTTAGGTTTTTTACTTTTGAAAAATAAATGGAGAGTTAATTACTGGCATAACATATTTTTGGTGTTACAATATATTACCTCCCTTTCATTAATAAAGGACATTTGCTTCTTAGTTCTTAACCATGAAATTTCTGTGTGACCATATTTTTCCTAATAAACAATTATTACCAGTTATTCTCCTGATTTCTTGTTCTAAGTTTTCTTTGGAATGTCACATTTAAATGACTATATTACCGAAAGAAACAAGTGACTGATATTGAGCAATAGAAACATATCTAGTGCCCTGAACAGTTTCTTATTAGAAGTGTGACTTTATGAATCATATATAAAATAACACTTATTGGCATATCAGCCCAAGTTTGTGTATTTGGGTCGAACACTTCTCCCCAGTTGGAGTAATGCTTGTACTTGCAGCCTCCCCACATGTATATCTTCCCATCCACCAGGCGGACCTCCGCGGAAACACGAGGCACTCTCATGGAGGTCACGTGGTGCCACTTGTGAAACCGACAGTCGAAGAGCAAGCACGGGACGAGCTCGGCTGAGCTAGATTCACATCGTTCCCAGAGGCAGCATCTTTAGTTGGGCGGAGGATGAACCAACGTGGGGTTTCGTCAGTGGGCATGCAGAAGCATACATAGAGGAACTTCTCAGCATAAGCCGTCAACGATCGTGTCTGGTAGAGCTCGGACGAAAGAACCATTAACAGGCAGGTCTTGGAGACGAGAGATAAGGCTGCATGGTCCAATCTTGATACACGGGCCAAGCAACTTATAGCCACCGCTTCTAGCAAAGAATGTAGAAACCCTGACGATGACGAGGGAGATGCCTCTTTCTTCCTCCTCTTACTATGTGTTGCCACTTCGGGAGCGTCATTGGACATCGTCACACTTCTGACTTTACTTATATAATTATAGTATTGAAAAATATTTCACGAGAGTGAGTTCTCCTTTTTGGATTAGGTTTAGGTTTAAGTTTTGTGAGAATTGAGAAGGATTCAATGAGAAACTATCTTGCCTTCGAGATGTACTAGGTTTAAAAAGTAAAACCATATATGATTCCTAAGAGCAAGTTCAATGGTAAAGTCCTTAAAAGAACTCTTAAACATTTTTTTATTATAAATTGTGACAATTTCAAAATTAAGAGTTTGTTTTGAATCCTTAAATTTTTTATTGTCCAATAGTAGAGTCCTTAAATGGGGTTCTTAAAAAAAGAAATTATATTTAAAATGAAAATTAGAAACATTTTTATTTGATAAAATTTAATAATTATTACAATTTTGTAAAATTTTAAACATACAAAACATAAAAGCATATAAAATATTAATCAAAAAACCGGAATAACGATTAGTCGTTAGCTTAATTCGTGCCAAATTTGCAAAGTTTGTTCACAAAAGATGTATATAAATAGTTTAAATTTAATTGTCCTTTTTTTCCTTTTTCGTTGGCCCGTTAGGTTTTCATTACGACAACAGGCCCATAAAGCAATTTTTTTCCGTCAATAGGACCATAAAACATAAACGTTAGGTTTAATGACTTCAACAATACTAAATTGATGCCACACCAAACCTTCACCACCTCGTCTGCGCACCGCTTCATCTACAGAAACCAATTTTTTTTCCCTCTTGCATTTACTTTAATTTAGTAGCAACAAACCCAATTGCCTAGAAATATATCGGTATGATTAATTGGTTTTTTCACCATTGTAAGTGATTAAGTTGTCTAATATGTCACTTGAGGGTACAACTAAATTAAATTCTAATCACTGATATTCAAATTGTTATATATTCGGTTGATCAAGATAACATCAACATAATAAAACTGGTCAACCATCCAACATCACAACGGGCCACTAATGTTTCTCACAAACAAAGTATTTCACCAATTCGTTTATAAATCGAATCAAGTCTTCATTATATTATTTTTTGGCCAGAAATATTCAATAACACAAAATTTTAGGAAAAGAATCTTCCAAACATTGAAAAATTGAATCATAGATGAAAAAATATAGAGGAAGGGGTCATCAGATAGGAGCGAAAGACTATGCTGAAGATATTAATCATAATAGAATTTATCATCTGAACTATGCGTTATCAATCATCACTTGACCCCTTTCAATTTCCTCTATTCTCAACAACCAATCCAAAACAATAACCTATATCAGATTTTAGACTAAACAAGAACAGGCCTCATAGAGAAGATTAAATTTATCAACAAGGATTAATTCAGACATATGCTTGTCTATAATCATTTAAATCACAGGCCACTAAACAGTAATCAACCAAAAACAGAATCAAATAATTGTAAAGCAAAGAAAGAAACGAAATCGGATTTGAGATTTGATGGCCTCATAGAGAAGATTAGATTTATCAACAAGGTTTAATTCAGACATATGCTTGTCAATTTTTGATTAAATCATTGGCCAAAAAAATCGATTGGGAAAAAAAAAACAATGAATGGACTCAGAATATGGGTGGTGATATAACAGAGTGGTCGGCAAATAGGCTTTTTAGGGCCGTTTTTACGACGAACGAGACCTTTAATATCAATCGTCACTGTCCATTAATCTACACAAAAACTCAAAAAACAGACGAAGAAGAAGAAGAAAAACAGAGAGAAGCTAATCGGCGGAGATCTAAAAAACCCTAAAGAAGTTTGTTATTGAATTGGCTTAGTTTCTCACGCCTTTTATACGGAAAAAAATAAACTTGAGAGCTAGGGTTTCTTTCACAAGGTTAGCTGGATTTGGACACGTGGTATATCTGACGGTTGCGATTTGTTAAATCTCCGGGTTTTTTTCTGTGGAAAAACGACGTGTAGTTTCATATAGATACTTCTAAACTACACACTGTTTCTTTAAGAAAACCGACCTTTTTTTTCCTGGCCCATTATTGGCCTGTCATGGGTCCATTACTAACACGCAATTATTTTTCCGAATTCAGAGCAATTTTTTTCCCTCTGTTACACTTCATGCATCAGATTGAAGATTTTCATAAAACTTGTCTCTATTAATCTGCATTCTTAACTCCAAACTTGGTGAAAAATCAATAAATAAACTCTTGATTAAAGGAAGAGATATTGAATTTTAAATGTCTACTAATAATATGTATTATACAGCTTACTAGGTAATAGGAGAGTCTAGGATATAGACAGACACCAACAGTGTTAACACAAATTGAACGCATTTCTAAAACACCATTGTTGTCTAATGATTCAACATCAAATCTGAAATTAACTGAATCAGAATTTAAAGGAAGAAGACATGTAAAAGGAAAGATTTGAGAATCATTTGTTTCTGCAAGACTAATCTTTTAGCTTCTACTTCTACTTCTCTCTGGAGCCGTTCTCATATCAAGCGTTGATAGAACTTGTGGCATCGACATTCCTCCTGACACAACAATCTCTGCAAATAAATAAAACACATCGAAAAGATCAGAAGATCGAAATCTCCAACATTTCTGATGAAATTAATGGATCTTCCTTCCTTACCTATGCCTTCTCTTACTGAAAGATTTGGTCTGATCACATCTTTTGTACTAACAAGGAATACATCCCCAATGTAAAGGTGATTTGTCGGCACATATACACAGCAAAGCTCCTCTTCATCTGCGTAAGTCTGCAATGATATTAAGACGTTTAAGTTTTGGTAAAACCTTCATTTCCAGAAAGAAGACTACGGTTTCTTGAAACATACCTGGAGAACAACAGTCGATGTGATGAACCCAATTGCGTATTCACCAATACGTGGATGCCTTATAATGGCGACTTCTTTGAAAGCCTGAGTATTTTGATCTACAATATAATAGTGAGAAGTTATCTAATCAAGACTCAACCAAAAACGACCAAACCAGAGATTAAAGGAAGAAACAAAACAACGGTACCTGGTGATATGGCAGTGCTGATTTGCTTGGATGCATTGTAGATGTGACGAACAAATGGCATTCGCTTGATAAACCACTCTCCCAAATTTAGAACCGATGTACCCAACCATGAAGACATGAACACCCCAACCATGAAGATAAATGTAATGGACGTGATAAAACCAAGTCCTGAAAAGCAAATTTACAAAAGAAATGACATCAAATACTATCTGCTACATTGTTTTTGATATTCATCTATATTCCCTCAAAGAAGTTCTTCTAGATAACATAAGAGTTACTTCGTGATCGCCAACGAACAGACAATTAGTTAGTAGACAGAGATATAGAAGAAGGACTAGAAGAAGCTTACCAAATATATCAATTCCGAGATGAGTATATATCGGGGAGAAAAATCCATCCACGAAATGAATAAACCACCAAGTCACATAGAAAGTAATTGCCATTGGAAGCAAGATCACACTGCAAAGACGATTTCCGAGAGTCAGAATATATTGGCAGAACTTGTGAAAAAAGAACAAGCAATAAAGACACTAAATCCTCCATTGAAATAAGCAAGAAACATGTCCTTACCATCCAGTCATGAACTTCTTTGATGCCCAGCTTCTGATCAACTTGTAAAAGGTCTAAAGATCAAAACAATTCCCAAGTCAGGAAACACATCAAAATTGAAAATTGCAGATAAACAAAAGAGTCACTTTTTAGGAACAAACTATAAGTTAACTAAATAACTTAACACATCTATGAGCAAACGAAAACAGATCAAGCAGCTAACTTTTTCAAAATTCTCGAAATCAAGATTCGCAATTTACCAATCACGATCAAAATTCAACACTAACCCAACAAAAACCCAATTCAAAGTCTTAAAATTTCGCCAATCGAAAACCCTAAATCGCAGAAGACGAACATCACCACAACCTATAAAACCCTAAAGACGTAATTTTGAATAGAGGGTAAGAAAGTGATGATAACCTCTTGACCAGAATGATGAGAAGAAGATGAAGATGAAGAAGAAGAAGGTTTGGGTGTAGAATCGTGATCATCTTCACCGGAATGAGCAACTGGAATCAGAAGCTCACGATCTCTATTAGCCATGACGATCCCAGGTTTCGTGTCGCCCATAAACAGAAGAAAACGAATTGATAAACCCAGAAAGATGGACAAGGAAGGAAGGAGATCAACAATGGAAGAAAGGTCAAAAAATTCAACGACGAAAGAAAAATCACAAAGCTGACTCTAATTTTCGACTATCTGTTTCCAGTCTGTTTCGGAAATTTTGTTATTAATTTATTATAAAAAAAGATTAGTAATTGTATTTTAATGTGAAAAAATCATATAAAATGTCACTAATGATTTAGATATTATTTTTCGGTTCGAGATATTATTATTATTTTGAAATGTTTGGATTGGGGGTGTTTTAGGTAACTTTGTTAACTTATTAAAAAAGAATGGTGGATTTGAGACGAAAACAAGATGAAACTTCTTTCTAATCATTCGTAATCACATGGATAATAACATAATGTGTATCAATACCGGTAAGTAACATCTTATTATTTTAGGATAAATACATGGTTTAATCGTTCTTATATGTTTCAGCGAGAAGTAAAAGAGAATTTAATATCAAAGATGTAATTAGCAGTTTGTGTAATAATTTTGCTAACGTTAATATTACCATATATATATTTGGTTGGAAACAAAAATGATTTCGAGTATGAAAACTGATAGCTATGTGTGGATATTAGGAGAAATGACAAATATACATATATCTATATATAAAGTTTGTTTTATCAAAATTAGTCATTAATAAAATCGTGACACGTGTTAATTGTTCGATTAGTTTACGACACATGATGAAAAAATTAATTTTTGTCTTTAACCAGATAGAAAAACTAACAAAATGAAAAAAATAACATAACTTATATATAATAATAATTTGTGTGTATATTTCTAAAGAAATTTGAACTTTGTTCTCCTAATTCAAAAAGAAAAACAAAATATTAACATAATACTAATTTATATGTCTACATCTAAAGCTTTTTAAAAATAATTCCTCACAAAAAAAAAAAAACAAACAATATTTCTATAAACTAATTTATGTATTTGAAAACACCAAAATTGAAAACTCTGTTAGCTTGATAAATAGTAACTGTAAACACCAAAATTGAAAACCCCATTAGCCTGATATAATAGTAACTCTAAAACAACAAAAATGAATAATCTTACATGCAATTCATAGTATAACCACATATCAAATTTTCTATTTTTAATTTTATATCAGAGTTATTCACTATTTAAACTTGCTGATTTTTTTTTAATAACTAGAATTATGTTTGTAATCATTATCTCATTAGTTCTATAATAATTAGGCAAAAGTGAAGATAGCCTTTCTAATCAATTAGAGATAAAACAAAAGAAGATAAAAACATATAACAAAAATTGTAAAAAGTAAGGCAAACAAATCAATATCTTACAAATTTTAAATTGAACCTAAATCACTCTATCATGCTACTATTCATTGTCTTTCTTTTCCATCACTCCAATTCAGTTAGTGGATCAAAGGATCCATCATCCTCCGAAGTGTGATCACTTTGTTAGCTTTCCAACAAAAGGATACACTTTGGTGTTAAAGGTGTCACTTGATTGTTGTAGAAGAGTTATAAGGGTCCAAAATGCTATTGTTGCAAGTCTTGGTTCAAGTCTAACAAATACACTTATTCTCATTGATTTTGGGGAAAAATGTCGGAAAATGCGTGAACTTTCAAATTTGGGACAAAAAAAGCATGAACTTTCAAAATGTCATTTAAATCATAAAGTTTAGTTTGACTTTTGATTAAATGGTTAAGTTTTCGTTGACCTAGCAATTTCGGACATGTCGTTAAATTTCCGTTAACAAGACGATGACGGGGTTAACTTTCCGTTATAAATCTCCGTTGAATCGAAACGACGAAAAAGTTCGATTCTTCACAGACGCAGTTAATTCATTTTATTTTCCACTGAAATGACGTCGTTTTGTTGTTTTTAAACCGACGTCGTTTCGATTCAACGAAGATTTCTAACGGAAAGTTAACTCCGTCAACGTCTCGTTAACGGAAATTTAACGACATGCCCAAAATGGCCAAGTCAACGAAAACTTAACCATTTTATAAAAAGTCAAACTAAACTTTATGATTTAAATGACATTTCGAAAGTTCATGATTTTTTTGTCCCAAATTTGAAAGTTCGCGCATTTTCCGACATTTTTCCCATTGATTTTGGCATCTATAGGTTAATTCTTCACCCTAATCTTCTTTTTTTTTGCTTATGATATTTTGATGTAGAGTGTAATGTGAGATTTGTTTTGTTAGGCAAAGGATTATTGTTTTTAAGAACAAAAACAACCTTGTGATGCAAGGAATGAGATACCTAAATTGATTGAGTACTGAAATAACACATGCGCTTCTTCCAACTCCATTTGAAAGCTTCTGGTGTTGATTTTTTGGAGTAAGAAATTATTGTCTACAATATAAGATTCTCTGTTTTGTAATTTGAATTTGTGCTCAAGTTACTCATTCCATGGAGAATTTTAATTTAAGTTTTCTTATCTTAGATAAAATATTGTTGATTGGAACTTTGATAAAAAGATATAATTCTTTGCATTAGAAAAGTTAAATTTATTGCATATTTTAAGTAAATGTTGAGCATCTTTTATGCAATTTTCTTAGATATGCTATAAACACTTACACCATGTATGATATATGTGTATATTTAAAATTAGTCGTAACTTAAAAATAACACAAAATAAAGAAATCTAAAATCATGAACCACTAGAATATGTCTAAGCAATATAAATAAGAAAATCACACATAGCGATTAATCGTTAATCTCAACATCATTAATCGCATATATTATCATTATTGTTCGTTTCGTTAATGTTATGCCTGATCACTGCACGTTTACTTACTTTAAACTAGTTTCACTCTTAGATAGATATATGAATCTTATCGGTGGATCCATCATGACAATTGCTCATCGCAGATTTTAAACCTTTGGGTATACAAGAGGATTGTCCCGAAAATAACTGTTGCAGCAATAGTCTTCTTTTTGCTTATTACATCGATATTTTTCTGGAAAAAAGATGTCACAAAAGGGCAATGAAAAGAGGTATGTGAATATAGGTAAATGCTTTAGGGTCTCTTATAAAGTATGTGAATTTAAAACTATATCTCGTTAATTTGTCACATTCTAATACATCTCAAGAAATTTGTTTCGCTATCAATGTGACATGTAGTGTTGTTTGTTTCGTTTTCGCCATTCAGCTCATATGAAATATGTTAACCGTGATAACATAATATTATCGTCAATTATTTTTTTTTCAAATGAATTTTTTTTTCTCTGCCAACATAATTGGTTCGATGTGAGTCACATAAAAAGTTGTGTAAAACCATTTTACAAGCTTTACCGCTTAATCAAACTATATTTTGGATACTTAATTAGAGCAACTTCATTGGTAAGTTATTACTTGAGAATAATTAAGCATTATCTTGATTTTTTACTCGAAAGCACTTTACAAAGATAATGATATTATGTTAATATATAGTTACAAAGTTCGAATATGAAAAGACATTCTCAAACACTATAGTTATCTACTATATTTTTCATAATGCTTAATTTTAAATGTATCAAACTTCAAATGAATACATTTAAATGACATTCCAATACATAAATTCTCTCACTTGTTAAAACAAGCAATTGTTCCAATTTGAAGCATAGATATATAATGAACTTTTTTTATCCCGATAATTCATCAGTATAAATATAATTATGTGTTATCTTGTGAGTGTTTGTCTCTTTGTTGTAAATGTATTTAAGGGGTGTTATAAAAGTTAAAACCATGAATTTTAATAGAATAGAAACCCAACCACAATTTGTTGTTATTCAATTTATGGTTTTGAATTATGTCTTAAAATCTTGAGTTATCTGATCTATATTTGTAAATCATGGTTAACGAGATTTTATAATTTGGGTTTATCCAATTAAGATTTCAAATATTTAATTAAAACATATAATGTTATTCAAAACTATATAACTTTAAAATATATTTTTATACTAAGTCATTTACAATAAATTTCAAAATAATTTCATAAATAAATTATTAAAAAAAAATTAAAGTATACTGCAAATATTTTATACTCCACACAAATGAAGTTTTAAACATGATATGAAATTTTGAAATCTTGAAGATTGTAAAACGTAGAGAATTAACTTTAACTTCAAGATTGAATAACATCCTTAAGTCGTCAATTTTTTTGCAATGTTTTTAGATATGTTTGATATATTTTCAAGTGCACCTTTAGACCACACGCATATGTTTGCCATGTAATGTGCATGATTGATACATACACACATAGTAAAAGGTATTAAATATCCACTATTTTGGAAGTCAAGAAAAAAAAAACAAAGAGAACATTTAAAGATTATGGAACAACAACATGTACATTTGAGATAGTTATCTTCTTGTTAAGAGTTAAAACCCCTTAAGCTAAAGACTTCTCTATCCGAGGAAGAATGACGGAAGGAAGGGGGTGTGTTTAATTCATTTGCTACTTTGCTTTCATTCCTTTTCCCTATCTACACTCTTATGTTCTCTCTATAAAAGTATCTCACAAGGATTTTCATGATTAATGTCTATCTTTCGGACTTCTAAAACCGTTCAAATTCTCTAACTTCTCCAAGTATGAGAGCTTTTTCGGCGTAATGTTTGGAGATTTAGTAGGTTTATCGCCGCCTTTGGAACTATTATCGTTCCAACCCATAAAATCCAACAAGGTCTTGGAGTAGTGTGGGTCAAGCTTCTCGGTTTCTTCTCCCGACTTAGAAGATCCCGCTGACTCGGAATCCGTCTCGGTTGTTCTCCCACCATCTGATGTTTCTTCAGCCAATAAAGTTTGCTTTAGCGCCAATGAATCTGTGTAAAGAACATCTTCTATCCTTGACATCACTGTATAAGCCAAGCTTTCAAGTATCCTAGAGTAACTTTCCAACACCGCTTGCCCAACGTCCTGTATCCATTAAACCGATTAATACTTCATCTTTCTTATAACCGAAACAATCATGAGTTGTTTCTTGCTATTCAAGGCGTCTACAATATATGAGAGTTTAATCTCATAGTTAAAAATTGAACTGAAATTTTATCATTATGATTGATTTACCTTGTTAAACTGAATCTTGGAGATGTCAAGGGAAGATTGAGGAAGACCGGGAAATTTTTGTTTAAGAAAGACCAAGATTGTTTCTGCTCTCTCTTCGAACAATTCTCTCTTCTCCAAGCTAACTGCTGAGCCCCAAGAAGATTTGGTGTCCTTTGTGTGAAGCTTCCTCTTCCAAATCACAACAGATGCCTCAATCCTATTCTTCAAATCCAACACTTTGTGTTCTGTCGACAAGTCCAACATCGATAAGAACTGCTCTGGATCAAACCACTCCTCTGTTATGCTCTTGTAGATCGAATCCCCGAGGCTGGCTCTTCCGTTCTGTCAACAAAAATCAAAGCTTAAGAGTCATTTGTGATAATAACAAAGTTAGAAATAAAATAAAATGTAAATGATTGATTGATTTACCTTTGGGAGAGAGTCGATGTAGCTCTCGGGTATTGCCATTTCTGAAAGGACTTGAGCATTGATAGCCATTGCAGCTTTTTGGACCTGTGTGACTGAATCTTTTTGGAAGTAAAGCATTCTCCGAGCTGGTTCAGATAAACCGCCGGGAGGAACTTTAACCGGAGGTAGCCACCATTTGTCGTTTGTCCGATCATTCCTCGCTTGCTGCCCTTCTTCTGAATCTCTAGAAACATACCAAAACTCGTTGTGTCCTCTGAAATTGTCCAGTGTATCCTGAACATGTTATCATCACCATTAATTCATCAAACGCTAGATATAAAGCTGGATTCAATACAGATCGAATGGAGACACTTACAATGAGCATGGCATCGAGTTTTCGAAGAGCTGGAATGTTCATAAGAAGATCACCTCTTTGTCTTGTCACCATAATCTACAAAAAAACACTCACCAAACTTTATAATTTATCCAAAAGAGGTCTAAAATGATATATTTTTTCTTTGCGAAACTCGAACCTCAGTACAAACTCCTTCTTTGCTCGTTTGTTGAGAAGGAACAAACTCGACAATGTGATCAGTCACAGACAATAACCAATCGATCTCTTTCTTCCACCTCGCTTGTCTATCTTGCGGCATCGGTTGTAGCTTTGTTTGTTCCCCGAATATAGACGCTGCAAATCATCGTACCACCAACACAAAATTTAGAAAACAAAAACCCTCATAATTACTTGTGAAAGAAGAAACTTGAGAAGTATAAAAAGAAGATTACCAGCAAGATTTGTGATGGCATTGGAAAGGGCCAGAGCAGAAGATACACCTTTTCCGCCACCGGACATATCTTCTCCAAGAAGTAATTTAGCGAACCTGTCTTTCATCATCTCCATATCTGTAACACTTTGTGATTATTAGGGTTTTTATTTATAATGGAAATAAGTTATTGGACAAGGAAAAAGATTCACACCTGCTTGTTGTCTGTCGGATCTTTTTCCTGGCCGAGTAAGAGGGGAAATCATTGGAAGGCTGCTCTCTACGGGGCTTTCTACGAAGCTGTCGGAGTTTTGGCTTTCAGGCGTGTTGGATTCGACAATATGAGAATCTCCGTTCTCCACGACAATGGTTTGAGATTGTTGTTGTTTCGTGGAAGATGAATCAAACATACTTTTAAAGTTGAATGATTTGGAAGCGCTTAGTCTTCGTTCCAACGCTGCAACCATGGTACGACAACGTTCGCTTGTTTTCTTGCCCCGCAAGTTAAAGCCCTTTATTCCTTTAAAATCCAGTTGATCTAAAGATGATACAACTCTAAGATTTTTGTTAAAAGCATAAAAAAACAGAAAAAACAAAAAAAAAAAACTAAAAGACTCTTTTATTTGGAAAACGAAACAAAATTCGTAAGAACAAATCGTTTGTCTTGGATTTTAAGGATTAGAAGCATTTCAAATATGAAAATAGTAAAATCAAAATTTAGGAAGTTAGCTTTATTTAGGATTTGTTATCTTCTCTTTTGTATGTTAAAAATAAATTGATGGTTTGTGGTAAAAGTGACGTTCCACGAAGCACGGAATAGACCCTAAAACTCCACAACAGATTCAACTTTCTTATGGGAAATCTACCACTCATCAAATAGAGTATTTAGTTATCCTCAAAAGTATATGTTTGATTTGGTTTAATTTATTTCGCTTTGAAATTGCATGCCCTTGGTTAGCGTCTGAATTGGGAATGGAATAATAGGCTTCACATGCAACACATGAGGCATTCGTCTTCAAGAGATCGACAGGCAAATCTGCCACACTCATGACACCGAGTTGTACTAGGAAGAAATTCAGTAACCTAACGGAATTTCGCATTCAGAGGGAGTAAATTCAAGTAGAACAACACCTAAGTGACTCCTTATTTCTTAGTTGGCAAGGATACAAGTAAAGATAGTTAAGCTTTTCGTAAAGCCGAAAGCTTTCATTCGTAATGATATTTACATTCATATTATATGAAAAAAAAAAAAAAATTCGTACCAAAGAAAGAAGATTCAAAACCAGACAACAACATGAGAGAATAGAAGAAGATACGTAAATGAATGTAAATCAGCAAAACATATTTGTGTCTTGTTAACAAATTAGAAACAATTAACAAGGCTAGCTTGTTCAAAAAAATAATCAATGAATTAAAAGAGATGATACAAGAGCGTCAAGTAAATCAAATGTTGCAACTTAACGGTTACAAAAATTTATTTAATATTTTGGTAATTAATTAAAATATATTTTGAAGAGTTACAACCAAAAGATACGATCGTTGAAATGACTGAATAATATGTTTATTAAGTTTTTTTTATTATACAGATTAATAGTAGTTTCTTAAATGATATGGAAGATTAATTTTTGAGATAAATATGATAACTCATCATAGTGTAGAGTGAAGAATCAGTTTTTTGTTTTTTTACTTTTAAAAATGTTTCTTTTTCATCTTTACTAATTAAAAAAAAACCAAACAAACAACACAAGAAACATACATTCAAAACAACCAAATAGACTAAAAACAGAGAAAACAATAAATCTACACTACGGTAGATTGTTTGGATAATACACATTGCACCGTTGGTCCGTTGCACGGCATACAACAAGAAACTTAATAATATTTAAAGATAATAAATGAAAATCTCATAGAATATTATTTCAACAAAACAAAGCTGAAGAAAAAAGGCAAATATCAGTTCTTCTCAGTTCTCACTCGTGGAAAAAGGAAATACCCAGACTGATAGGGCCATAATTAGTTACTAATCACAGATTCACAGTAATTAAACAACTAAACTCAAAGAAAAAAGGAAACCCTAAATTTAATGTAAGCACTAAGCAGAGAGCGTAAGTATTATTTAAGGCAACAGAGGCTATCTCATTCTCACTTTCTCTCAGTTTCTCTGTCTCTCGAATTTCCTTGTGCCTCACGTTCTTTCTCTCAGAAAAACTTGAGTTTTCGGTTCTATCACAAATTCACAATGACTAGTCTGTATCACGATTCTGATCATCTCACAACTTCAGGGAAGGAGCTGTGGTCGAATTTTTGTGTACTGGTTGATGCGGCGGTTATGTTATATGAAGAAGAACAACGTTGTCGCAAGACTGTGTCTGAAGAAGAAGAAGAAGAAGAAGAAAGCCAGAAGAGAACCTTTTGTCTCTTCCCGAGGAAAACAAGATCGTCTTTGGTGAAGAGACAACAAAAGCTTAATGGGGTTTCTACTTCTACTTCTTCATCGCTTATCGATCTTAACCAGTTCCCTACTGATTCTGAGACAGAACAAAAGCATCTTCAGTTGCTTTCTTCTTCATGTTTCATCGCTGATTCCGAGATGAAAACCCTACAAAGCCCTAGTTCTGAACCTTGTTCTTCACTCGTACTCTTTGATTACAAGAAGGCTGAGTCCGAGAAGACGGAGACAAAGGACCCACTAAACCCTAATTTCCCATGTTCTCTGTCTTTGTGCCTAACGGAGAACATAAGCCGCAAGAGACGTGCCGTGCAAGAGAGAAAGCGTAGTGGTGGAGTCAAGAAAGCAAAGGTTGCTCCTTTTCCACGGACGACAAACGAGACGCCTGAGTGGCTTGTCAAGGTGATGAGAGACATGAAAGAAGCCAAAGACGCTAAACTGATCTTTGAGAAGACTCTGTTCGTGACTGATGTGAACCCAACACAGAACCGTCTCTCAATGCCTTTCAACAACTTACTCCGAAACGATTTCTTGACGCCAGTAGAGTCGAGGATCATAAACGAAGACATTAACAACAATAAGAAGATTGGAGTGGGAGCGATTCTCGTGGATCAACGGTCTGAAAAGTGGGGTGTGATATTAAAGAGATGGGAGATGAAGAAGGAATCAGGTAAAGGAAGCTGGAACTACAATTTGATTTGTGGGTGGAACGATATCGTTGAGGCTAACAGATTGAAAGAAGGCGACAACATTAGTCTTTGGTCGTTTAGGTGCTGTGGAATCCTTTGCTTTGCCATGGAACAGAGTAGCTCTTCCCTTGCTCTCTGTCTCTGCTAAGTTTATTTTGTCTGTTGAGACTATATAACTTGGTTGATCAACACGCACAGCGATCTAATTTTAGGCAATTCTGGAGATTTTTTTGTCCAGTAACTTCTTGGAAGAGTTTGATTAAGAAAATTAGGGTTCTTCACTATTATTAGTAACTTGTTCTATATATATTGTTTCAGATTATTAACACTTGTTGAATAACAGTGTGATTTCTCATTAATTAGTAAAGTGACTGTACAACAAGTATTTATACTTACATGAGATTAGTAACTAACATAAGCTAAGGGAAACTTATATTAATCCTATATCTCTATAATACTAATAGCCCCCCTCAACTCTCTTAATCGGAACCTTCTTGTGGAGTAAAGAGAGTTGAAACAGACATACGTCCAAGAAGTGAGTGAAAAGGACCCGGATGCAGAGGCTTTGTCAAGATATCAGCAAGTTGATTTGCTGTTGCAACATGAAGAACTTTGTGAAAACCATCTTTAATCCGATCCCTTGTTCTGTGACAATCTATCTCCACATGCTTGGTTCTTTCATGGAAGACCGGATTATTGGCAATATGCATTGCTGACTTATTGTCACAAAACAGTTTAGCTTGAGTTGTCACAGAGATTCGAAGATCCTTCAGAAGTTGATTTAACCAGACCATTTCATCAGAAGCCATTGCCATTGCTCTATATTCTGCTTCTGTGCTACTGCTACTAGCAACATGTTGTTTCTTTGACTTCCATGAGATAAGTGAATTGCCAAGAAAAACACAAATGCCAGTAACAGATCGTCGTGTATCTTTGCAAGTACCCCAATCAGCATCTGAAAACCCATTCAAGCAAATATCTGTATTAACAGAGTAGAACAGACCCTGACCTGGATTAGATTTGAGATACTTGAGAACATTATGAACCGCTTGTAGATGCATATCAGTAGGGCATGAGACAAACTGGCTCAACTTGTTGACTGCAAAAGTTATATCTGGCCTGGTGATAGTCAAGTATAGTAATCTTCCAACTAACTCTCTGTAATATCTGGCATCTTCTAAAAGTACTCCAGTCTCTTTATTCAAAGGAACTTTAGGATCCATAGGGACTGTTCTAGGCTTGCACTGAAGAAGACCAGAGTCTTGAAGCAAGTCAAGACAATATTTTCTCTGAGATACAGATATACCTTCTGAAGATCTGGCAACTTCAAGTCCTAGAAAAAATTTTACCGGACCAAGATCTTTAATCTTGAAAGCTTTGGCCAAAACTCCTTTCAAAGCTATCACAGAGTCATCATTATTGCTAGCAATCATTATGTCATCCACATAGACAAGAAGAGCAATAAAAGAAGAACCCTGAATCTTCACAAAAAGTGTATTGTCAGCAGGAGATTGACAAAAGCCATCTTTTAGTAGAACACTGGAGAAGCACTTATACCACTGGCGAGAAGCCTGTTTTAATCCATATATGGATTTGTGTAGTCGACAGACTGCATTAGGAGGCAGAGTACCTGATGCTGGAGTATAACCCTGAGGTAAACTCATATAAATTTCTTCCTCTAAGTCACTATGCAAGAAAGCATTTGTGACATCCATTTGTGTTAAGCTCCATCCTTTGTTAGCTGCAAGACTAAGAATAAGCTTGACACTAGCCAGTTTAGCAACAGGTGAGAAAGTCTCAAAATAGTCTACCCCTTCTTGCTGAGTAAAACCTTTAGCAACTAAGCGTGCTTTATACCTCTCCACTGTACCATCGGCATTGTATTTGATGGTATAAACCCACTTGCAACCTACAATGTTCTTTCCTTCAGGCAACTCAACAACACTCCAAGTATGATTCAGTTCCATAGCCTGAATTTCCACATCCATCGCCTTTGTCCATTTCAGAGATGCTATAGCCTGCTTAAAAGTTTTTGGTTCTGTTTCAAGGGAATATGATAGGACAATGGATTGATATGCTGGATTAAAATTGGTGTAGGAAAGGACTGATGAAAGAGGATAAGGACTTGTGGTTTTCTTTGATGAAAGAGTCAAAGATTGAGATAAAGGAATAGGGTTTTCTGAGAGGGTGTTGGTCATTTGAGTGAGAGAACAGTGATAGTCAGACAAATAAGTGGGAGCCTTAGCAGAACGTTTTGGTCTTGCATTAGGCACTGAAACTATCGCAGTCTCTGTAGTAACATTTTCTTGTGCCACAGTAACATTAGGGCTAT